TGGTGGATCAAAGAAGTTGCCCAAAGGCACTCCTGGCCACCAAAGAAATCTGATTTTCAAATGTTAAAAAAGGGTCCAGGAGGACTCCCAAGCTGCGTACCTGTTCTTTCAGGGGGAGAGTAACTCCATCTAGAACAGGTGTCATGACACATTCACACACAGATGGCCTCCTGATCCACAGGTCCTCAGTCTCATCTAGGTTCAACTTCAGCTTATTTGACTTCATCCAAACCATCACTGCCTCCAGACACCGATTTAGATCAGTCACCACCACACCTGGTTCTAATGTCACAGGGAAATAGAGTTGGGTTTCATTTGCATATTGATGGCACCATCCTCCAAAACTCTTTATGACCTCTCCCAGTGGCTTTATGTAGATATTAAACAGCTTAGGGGACAAGATAGTACCTTGAGGGACCCCATAGCACAATTGCCATGAGGTCAAATAGCAGTCCCCTAGCTCCACCTTCTGAAAGCGTCCCGACAAGTAGGACTGGAACCATTGCAAAACAGTGCCTTCAATACCCAACTCCGCGAGGTATCCCAGAAGGATATAATGGTCAATGGTATCAAAAGCCACTGAGAGGTCTAAGAGAATCAACAGGGATGCACTCCCCTTGTCTATCTCCCGGCGTAAATCGCCTACCAGGTCGTCCAAGGCTATTTCAGTTCCAAAACCAGGCCTAAAGCCAGACTGAAATGGATCTAAGTAGTCTATTTCTTCCAAGAAAGCTTGGTGTTGCAATGCCACCGCCCGCTCAAGTACCTTGCCCAAGAAGGGAATATTAGCAATTGGGCGATAGTTATTTAAGTCATGTGGGTCCAGGGAAGTCTTCTTGAGTAACGGTTTTATCACTGCCTCTTTCAAGGCAGCAGGAACCGTACCAGATCTAAAAGACGCATTAATAATCCCCTGGACCCAGCCATTCATCCTTTCCCGGCTAGATTTAATAAGCCATGAAGGGCAGGGGTCATGTGAAAACGTGGTTGGTCGCACTCCTCCAAGCACCTTGTCCACATCCTAAGTCTGTAATAGCTGAATTGATCCAGAGAAAAAAGACTGGGTGGTGCACTCAACACATTCTGTGCCCCACTTACATAACAACCAGAGACCAAATCCAACCGGACGCGGGCGATCTTATTTGCAAAATGCTTTGCAAACAGATCACAGCGGGGGGGCAAAGGCTCCTCTATTTCGTAATGAGTGCCAGACTGCAACAGGCCCTGCACTACTCGAAACAATTCCGCTGGACAGTATTGTGCGGATGCGATATGGGTGGAGAAGTGGGGCTTGAGAGGGTAGCCGAGTTAGTCTGTAATTGGAAAAATGTAAAAAATAACAAATAGTCTTGCAGCACCTTAAAGACTAACAAAATATGTGGATGGTATCATGAGCTTTTGTGGACACAACCCACTAGTTCAGATGAATGGAGTTATTAAAGGTCCAGTTTCAAAATAAATAGAGGATGGACGGGAGGGGTGGCGGGAGAGGAGGGGGCGAGAAGGAAAAAAGAAATAGACACATGGACACTCTAATTGACTATTCTTTTCCCATTTTTTCCTCCTCTCTTCCCCCCCATCCCCTATTTATTTAGAAACTGGACCTTTAATAACTCCATTCATCTGAAGAAGTGGGTTGTGCCCGCAAAAGCTCGTGATACCATCTACATATTTGGTTAGTCTTTAAGGTGCTGCAAGACTATTCATTGTTGTTTTTCTATGGATTTTTTTTAAAGAATTTAAGGTATTTAGAGATAAGCAAAGGCATTATTCTAGCCTTATTTCTCTAGTCTTATTCTGGCCTGCATATTTATACCTGCCTCTGGAAATTTCCACTACATGCATCTGATGAAGTGGGTCTTTGCCCACAAAAGTTTATGCTCCAATACATCTGTTAGTCTATAAGATGCCACAGGACTCCTTGTTGCTTTTGCAGATCCAGACTAACACAGATACCCCTCTGATACAAAGGCATTTTGTTAACATGGGTAGTTAGCTGATGGTCCACGGAAAGGTTTGTGTTGAGTGGGATGGAGTGAGAGTTCAGGGTGAGGAGGTCAGGGGCTTAGGACTGAGGATTGGAAGGTGTGGGGGAGTTCCAGGCAGGGGGTGCGGGCCTTCCTAATATGGGAGCCAGTTCCATCCCTGGGGGAGCCTGTGTTGGTTGTTCGACTGCTCCCATTGTGGGTGGAGTGGGTGGAGTTGGGGCCCCCAACCCTGTGTTTTCCCTGAGACACTTGAGAACCCATGCCACCACCTTCCTAGGGTGAGGTGTGCAGTACTCAGGGCAGGGGGCTCAGGAAAGTGGGCTGGGAGGTGGTGAGGGAGGGCTTACCAGGTACTTTAGCAGGCTCCAGGTTTGGGTCAAGGGGGGCTACTTTTAAGATGGTGGAGCTCCAGCCCTGTTGGCTACTTTCTTGGTGCTGCAGCCGCCCCTAGTGGCCATTCTCAGTATCATACCCCTCCTCTCTCTGCCCCTCCCTTTCATATTTCTCCTTTCTTTGTCCATTCCCTTTCCATGTTATGGAAAACAGTCCCATTCCCAGCACTTTCCATTTTCTAGGCACAACCAAACCCTGACCTTGGTTTAAGTTAGGGTAAGAGGAAGTAGCCTACCAAATTTGGTGGTCTTAGCTCTTACAGGCGTTCTTGAACAAACAGACTAAAGATGCACAGACACACAGATTAACAGACGCTCTTTAAATATATAGATAGATAACTGAAATTCTATGCACAGGTAGGATGGCTATAGCCAAAGGAAAGGTTTTAGAGTGCCTTTAGTCTCCTTGCAAAAAGAGTATAAAGAGACACAGTTTCGGAGAGGGGAAAGTTATGCCCGAAGGAGTGATGTTTCAGACTGATTCTCTCAACACCAACTCATTTTCTCAAACTACTATGAACAATTCAGAGTGCTCATGATGTATATTCTATATCTTGGTTTTTGTGATTTCAATAAGACTTTTTTAATAAATGAAAGGCCGTTTAAGGTTCTGTTAACAGTGATCTGTTATAACATTAACTACAGAAAAACATCTTTTTACCGTGAAGGGAAATTTCAGATGCTTTGAATCAGGCACACTAATTTGCTCTTAGAAACAAAAGCTGCTGCTCCTTTTTTTTTAATTACCATTTAGCATGTTTTAATACTGAGCAATTAACAAGAATTTCTCCTAATGCAATCATTTTGTGGCTTCTTTGCAGCATTATGTAACCCAGTGTTTCCCAAATGGTGTTCCGTGGAACCCCGGGGTTCTGCGAAGTGAAAATAAGGGTTCCGTGAGAAAATTCTATTACAATAACATTTTATGATTAAAAAAATCATATTTCAGCATTTATGAATTTTATTGAAAACAATTTTCATTTGTGTTTGCCACGATAAGAGTCCCTGTGTAATGCCAGCTTAGCCAGAGAGTGGGGATGATGTCGCTACTCAGCGCTGTGTGAATAGTCAGTCAATGGTGCAATCGCCTGTTATACACCACCATAAATCCCCGTACTTACTCTCAGGGAGCGTGGATCACATGGGTGGCTGAATACGAATATACTAGCACCGCGTCGGACAAAGTCGAAGCTGCAGCTGTCAAACCAATTGCTTGTATGGGAGTGCCCAGGCAGTGCTCTCGCAAATACTTTACTTCAGTATAGTCGCATGATTTCTTATATTTAAAAATTTAACTGTGACAAATATAAATTGACTATGATATATTAATCTACATATCTACAATAGATAACAATAATACTTAGGTCGATAATAATAATACGACAAGTTAATAGTATCTACACATTGATTTCATGACCTTGTTTAGCATTTGTTTATTATTATCCTTACTTATTTGTGGTCTACTTTTTCAGCCCCATATATAAGACTGTTATTAGGGGTTCTGCAAAATTCTTTCAAGTTTAAAAGGGCTCTGTGGCCAAATAAAATTGGGAAACATGCATGTAACCTATACAGAAAGGTGAACTTGTAGTTCTAATAAAGTAATTCCATATAGTTGAAACTATGTTATAAAGTTTTTTACGTAGATCCAAATTGCACTTGTATTAAAATGAGCTGTGAGCATATGTTGTATTTAGGAATTTCTCTTAACTGGAGACAGTTCCATAAATAACAGAGGCCTGCAAGAGTGGTAGTTAGCTGTTGTACTCAACATTCCACAGAAAATTCAAAGGCTGGGTGTGTTTGCTATATTATTCCTGTTTTGCAGGATTCCTGAGTACTTCAATGCATGAATAGCAGATAGGCATAGTAGATAAAAGCACTGCATGTATTTGTGTCTGAAAATGTCAGTGGCATGCACTTTCATGTTTACATTTACAGTTAGTGTACATTACATGGTTGAGTTGGAAGCACCCTGTTTTACTAGGCAATTCTGTGAGCCATTGCAGCAGTGACTAAGATGTATGGTGACGGAGGAGATGGCCATGCCAGAATATATCCCATGCTGCAATGTGGAGTGCAGGCTTCTCTACAAATCCTGATCCAGACTCTATTTGGGTGTTTCAGTGCATGGGAATCAGCAGTTGAAGGATGAATAGTGAGGAGTTTTTACTGTACTGCATTAAATAGTTAACCAGGTCACTAGACTATCTTAAAAAGAGCGCTGAAAACTGCCAAGAGTGTATCTCCTTTGACACAGAAAACAGGCAGATGTGTCTGAGGCTCTCATGGACATGGGTGGTGAGTTATATGGGCTCCTGGTGCCCTGGCTCCAGCAATATCCAGAGCCGTGGCCCTGCTCCTGCAATATTTGGAGCTGAGTCTCTCTCCTGGCCCTGACTGGAGAGGGCCTCAGCCCCCACTTGCTGGTCCCCCCACGCGCCCTCCATCCCCAGAGCGTCCCAAGGATGGGGGCCTCACCCCCTCCACACTAGCCCTGCCGGCAGTGCTGTGCTGCTGGCTGGCACATTTTAGGCTTGCGGTGCATGCACAGGGATGGCCAGTGGAGACCCCCGTCTGGTGCATGCGCACGCCAGGTGGGCCAGAAACTGGCGGGCTGATGGACCCGGGGAGACTTGGCCAGCTGAGGGCATGCTGGCGCTGGAAGAAGGCGCTGGTATTTAAAAACGGCGGAGGCAGACGAAAAGGGGGAAGGCAGAGAGTGAGGGGCTGCCCTGCCCGCCGGGGCCCCTTTCTTACCCCAGGAGGCCACCAGAACACCTGGAGAGGGCAGACGCACTGGAAGAGGAGGACGTGCTCCAGGGGTCCGGCACTGATCAGTAGGGTTACTAGGTTAGGCTTAAAAATATACCGGCCACACTTCATGGGGGGGCGGGGAGACCGGCTGGGAGGGGAGGGGCACTGGTC